GATTTAACCGAATTCTCACGGTTACTCGTACTATGACTGAATTGTTGAGCATTTGACTGAGGGAACGAGGGTTTATGTGAGAAAAGTGACCCAATTCTACGCCCCATGGGGGCACGATCATAGAAAAGGAACAATTTTCCGTCTTCTGGGTATTCATATACACGGTCCTGGTGGACGAAAATCGAATCAACCTCGATTAGTGAAAACAACTTATCTAAATTAGGCGCATTTTTGCTACGGGATGACGGTCGTTTGGCATCCGCCGCTTTATAGTTTAATCCATACGAGTACAGGAAAGCAACCGCAATATCAACTGGCCGTACCGATCGAGGGACATTTTTCGAACAAGAAGGAATAAGCTCTCATCTTATCTCGAGGTAAGTCGCAATTCATTGAAAATTCTGACTGATTTGATGGCCGAATTTCAGGGAAGGGTTAGGTGTTATTAATTTTACACGAATTAGACGGATTCCAAACAAGTCGAATAATTGTGATGACATTGTTTATTTTATTGAAAGCTTTTAAACATTGGGAAACTACCTCTGAGGTTCTAGCTCCTAAAATTTAAATAAGTCGGGCAAATGGTTTTGTATATGAGCAGCAAGTAAGCATGAAAGCGACTGAAACCACACTGTCTTGCTGTTTGGTCAGGCCGAAAAATGCATATGCCGATGGCAGAAAATTGTCGATTTGGCATATGTACATACATATATGCGGAATGTTATTACTGACAAGGAAAAGAGAGACTGGAATGGCCAATGGATCGGTATGCGCCCATTCATGAGTGAATATATATATATATCGCGTTCATCTCCCGCAGAAGACCAAGAAGAAGAAGAGAGGGCGAATTCATGGACCATACTGTATTCGAGCTGACGTTTCGGAGAATTCCTCGTTTCCATCCTTTCAGTAGTGTGCTTGTTGCTCCTGATGGTCTTGATTTGTTCAGACTTCCTGCTTGCCTCGTATTATAGCCGTGCCTGACGCACGAACTTTGACCTGCCTGTTTGCCGCTGATTGGCGTAGACCTCCCGGAGCTGACCGTTGACAGGCTTGCGTTTCCTTTGTTTCCTTTGGGATCGGCGTAATTGTAGTCAAATCAACGTGCCAGTTGACCAATCCCACGTCAATCGGTGAACTGAACGGTCGTTGCTGTTCATGTGAGTAGCATTCAGCTTCGCGGGCGCATCGGCGAGACAGTGTTCGGCCTTGGTCACATGACCTCTGGCCTCCAACTCCGCTCTCTTCCGTGAGCATTAACTCTAGATCCCGCGTGCTCGCTTGTCTTACTGGTCCTGTCCGGACTGACCCGAGCCTTGTACGCAGCACCAGGCAGGCGGGATGTAAATCTGTAGCTCGGTTGAGTGTGCCAGTCGAGGACCAACTTTCTAGCACTAGTCTGGCCATCTTCTCATTGGCTCGACTAATTGCCCTCGCCTTCTCAAAGACGAAATTGTGGCTCAGTTCTTGTACGTGGCAATAAACCAAATAGAGCTTGTCCTTGCGGTTAATTACAAGTTGGTGTTCGTGCAATCTTGTACTGAGGCGTTTGCCCGTTTCATCAACATACCTCGCATTTTGATCTAGACATTGTATGCTGCAGACCACCGCTGACATTTCTGTTGTTGGTAGCGGGTCTTTGGGCTTCATTATTTGCCGCCTGATGGTGCACTTTGGTTTATAAGCCACGCCAATCCCAAAAAGTCTCAGGATTCTCGCCTTCCCCTCTGGTACCTTCTTCACATAGGGTTGTGAGAGCCAGAACTTCGGTCTTTCTCCATTCAAACGTTTAAAATGGGGCTTTTTGAGGCAATTGCGGGTGAAGGACTTCAGGTAGGTGTTGGATTTAACATGGGTCCGTAAGTAATTCATCTCCTCCTTCCGCCCACTCTCGTCATTACAGTGTGTTTGAACACGTTGAAAGAGAGTTCTGACACAACTGCAATTATGACCAACAGGGTGGTTGCTTCGGAAGTGGAGAGTGTGCCGGGTAGTCGTTAATCGACTCTGGCAGTCACCACTCACATACGCACAAGGATCATCTTTGCAATCGCCCGGGCAGAGAGGGAGGGATGGTGGCTGCTATCTGTCTGACCGTCTCTTGTCGGGGAGCGGCGTTTGGACGTTGGTGATCATCGCCCCGAATCGCGTTGACCTTAGTTGCCGTCCTGGGTCACTAGTCTTGTTTGCATCCTTCTGGCTGCATACCTCCCCGTCTTCGGGATTAGTAGTTGGGGCAACAGTATTGATGACTGCGCCTTTGTCAGGCCCAAATTGCGGAGTGGCTACTTGCGGGTCCGTCGTAGGTGTCTGGATTGACGACGTTTGGGCTTCATCTTTCGTTCACTGAGCTGTGTCCGGAGGGTTTGATCGGCTGCCAGATGGACGATACAACGGTTTGTTCAGGTAGTCTCCGTGTGCCAGGCCCCGATTGTTTTCCCTTTCCTCGACCAAGAATTTTGACTTTCTGAAAGGCGAAATTGTGCCCAGAGTCTGCGCAGTATTCATATTCAAAAACAATGGGTCCTGTTATGACCCACCTGGTACGTGAAATCCTGTGGAGCGTATGCGCACTCGACCCTTGTCCCCAATACCAACGCGGCAGAGAAGGAGAACGCGACCGGCCACGAAACCGTGTATTAGAAAAATGCAAGTCAAAATGAACTGGAAGTAACGCGTATTTATAACGCCTTACGGTGCTTCGCCGGCGTTCGGCCCAATGCCCTTCGGGAAGAACATTCGAGACGAGCCGGTCGATAATTCGAATATGCTGATCGATCAGGCCCGCGAGGAAAAGCCAATGGAGAGGCGCCACGATTAAGATGACAGCGCAGTAGAGAAAACGCACGTGGCCTCCCGTGATTGGCTGGCTCTTGTTTTTGGGAGTGTAGGCACTCCCAACACCTCCCCTCCAAGTAGGTCAGTACCGCTTCTGGCGTGGGTTGACCTGCATCAGACGTGTTGATCGGCGCACGCGGTTGGTCCGGTGTCTTAGTCGTGGTTTAATGCCTGGAGATACGGGAGCGGTAACTGATACCGAAGATGGTATATCCGAAGGGGGCGCAGAAGTGGGTTCGGGAACCGACTGATCTGCCCGAATGGCGAAGGTATCCAGTAGGATGTCGAGAGAGAGTGACGGCGCCGAATCGAGCCCAGTTGTGTTACTGCAATGTCGCCGTCGGATCTGGTTGTGGTGGCGAACCCAGATGTCATCACCAACGTCGACGTCAAACAACATACTGCCTCTGTGCGATACTACGGTTGCTTCAATCCAGTCTGGGAACCCCGCTCGATAATCACGAACGAAGACAGGTGTTCCGATGGAGAGCTTGCTGCGATAAACTGGAGAAGTCTGCGCGGGCTGCGCACCGGTAGGGACGAGGGCATGAAACGTTGTACGCGGTTTTCGGCCCATCAACGCTTCGGCAGGAGAAACGCCACCAGGGGACGCCGGGTTCGGTGTCGTCCTGTAGGAAAACTGGAACGCCTGGACTATCTCGTCCGTGGTCCCCTCCCCACGAGCTTTCAAGAGGGCTCTCTTAAACGTGTCGACAAAACGCGCCGCCTGACCGTTAGACTGAGAATGGTAGGGCGGGGAGCGAAGATGCTGGATGTTGTGCTGGCGGCAGAAATCTTCAAACGTCGACGAGATAAACTGAGAACCATTATCTGAAACCAGGACTTCTGGTAAGCCATGCTGGCTAAAGATGCGTCGTAGGAAGGCGATAGTGGCAGATGCGGTTGCTGGATTCAGCGGAGCAATCTCGGTCCATTTCGAGTAGGCGTCAACCAAGATTAGGTAGGAGACTCCGTTAAGTGGGCCAGCGAAGTCGATATGCACGCGTGACCAAGGCCTCTCCGGTGGTTGCCAGGGTATTGGAGGTTGACGAGGCCGCATTTTGGCAGCTTGCTGACATCGAGAACAGCGTCGAACCAGGTCGTCGATGTCGCCGTCGATACCCGGCCAGTAGGCAAAACTGCGAGCAATAGACTTCATTCGGCTGGTACCAGGATGAGCCGCATGGAACTGGCGTAGTACAGTGGGTCGGAGGGAAGATGGGATCACCACACGGTCTGCAAACATGAGGCAGGAGTCAACCACAGATAGCGATGCTCGGCGGAGGAAGAGCTGGCGAAGATCGCCAGCGAGAGCAGTGGTTGGCCAGCAGGTCTGCACGTAGGTGATGGCCTGGCGGAGGACAGGATCCTGTTCAGTAGCACGTCGGATGTCCGCGGCAGTGACAGGGATACCTCGTATGGCGTCTGATAGCTGACGGCGCACACCGTCCTCAATCGAAATAGCTGCAATCACGGTATCTTCTTCCGGTTCCTGCTGATTGCTGATGAGGCGGGAAAGGGCGTCAGCCTGACCAAAGTCTGTAGTACGACAGTAGCGAATGTCGAAATCGTAGCCAAAAAGGATGGTTGCCCATCGCTGAAGTCGGCTGGCTGAGTAGACGGGAATGCCCTTCTTCGAACCGAAGATTGACAGCAATGGTTTGTGATCCGTCAACAACGTGAAGTGGCGACCGTACAACAGTTTGTGAAATTTCTTGACGGCAAACACGAGGGCTAGAGCTTCTTTCTCTTTTTGCCCATAGTTCTTCTCCGCAGGGGTTAGCGTGCGAGATGCATGCATGATCGCCTTTTCAGACCCATCAGGAAAAGTATGTGAGATGACGGCACCAACTCCGTGGTTGGAAGCATCTGCAGCAACAACGATCGGCAGCGTCGGGTCGTAGTGCGTGAGCAACAGATCTGAACTCAGTATCGACTTTAGCTGGGCGAAGGCCTTTTCACAGTCGGGGGACCAGCACCAAGGAGCATCCTTCTGCAACAGACGGTTGAGCGGGGCCCGTACGTCATGCAGCGATGGTAGGAAGGCGCTATAGTAGCTGATCAGGCCAAGGAACGAACGAAGTTGCGATACATTCTTGGGGGCAGGCATCCGTTGGATGGCCCGAATGTTTTCAGAATCGGGATGGCGACCATTGGCGTCAAAAACGAATCCAAGGTACTTGATGGAGTCGAGGAAGAATTGGCACTTCTCGGCCCGTAGGCGAAAGCCATATTCCTGCACGCGTTCGAGTACTGCGCACACTCGGTCTTGCAGCTCGGCAGGGGAGCGACCCACGATGATGATGTCGTCCAGGTACCCAGCTGTGCCAGGGATGCCGGAGAGCATTGCGTTCATCGTTTGTTGAAATAGGGCCGGGGCGGTCTTGATACCAAAGGGCAGCCTGGTGTATTGGAACAGACCGCGGTGGGTATTGATGGTCAACAATTCGCGCGACTCTGGGGCGACCTCGATCTGCAGATACGCATCAGCAAGATCCAACTTGGCAAAGCAAGTGCCACCATTCAGCAGGGTGAAAAGATCAGCCGGAACCGGTAATGGATAGCAGTTCGGCGTCAGCGCGGCATTGAGACCGGTGGAGAAGTCAGCACAAATGCGGACCGAGCCATTGGGCTTCTTAACCACAACGATTGGATCGGCCCAGGCGGAGTAGGATACAGGAACCAGAACTCCCAATTCCTCTAGACGCTTCAGTTCAGCCTCGACAAGTGGTAGGGCTGCATATGGGACTGGTCGCTTTGGACGGAAGACTGGTGGACTTCCAGGAGACAGATGTAGCACGGCTTGAGTGTATGTGCAACGACCCAGGCCGTCTTGGAACACTGGAGCAAAGCGTTGGAGAATGTCCTTGGCTTGGTCTGCAAGCACAGCGGGAATCTGCACCTGACTGCAAACAACGCGGAGCGGCATATCGGCCAACCCAAGTTGTTCAATCCAGTCGAGACCAAGTAGGTTTAGATCAGACTAGGTGATGTAGCAGATCGCAGTGATGCTGGTACCGCGGAACGACACACAGCATTGCAGCTGCCCAATTAGCTGTACGAGACCACCGCACGCGCTTGTGGCGGACTGGGAAGTCGGCTGCATCGTGGGACTGCCAAGGGACTGCCAGAGTCTCTCAGAGATGATGGTGATATCTGAGGCAGTGTCCAACTGTAGACGAACAGCATGGCCATTGAGCAAGACATCAACAAATCTTCTACGACCAGACGCATTGAGCTGGAAAGCGGACAAGAGACTCAGAGAATTACCAACGGACTGGGGTTTGGGCTTGCGTTTTGGCCGGAAACGGTGCCTGGAATTAGGAGTGGCGGGGGCTGGCTTGCCTCCAGAAGTTGGTACTGATTTGCAGAACCCATCACGGTGTCCCACCTGATTACGGCTTTGGCAGCGATGCTGGCGGAAAGTGCAATCCCGGTGGAAATGCCACGCGCCACAGTGCCGACAAGGAGATGGCGGAGATCTCGACTTGGACACTTGTTTGAGCCGTGTAACAGGATGCGATTTGTTCGATGTGACCGTATGGACTGAGAAAGATGAGGCCGGGTTCTGAATCATTGCAGAGTCGTGCTTGAGATTGATCAGCGTTTGGCACTCTGCTGCCAGCTCTTGGAGAGTGGTGGAGTTGTTCTGCTGCACTTTGGACAGGAGACGTGTCCGGATATCAGCATCCTTGGGGGACTGGAGGCCGCAGATAAATATAAGGCAT